CCATCAGCCTGGCCTCAATGCGATGGGGAGCACCGGCAGCTGGTTGCCTCGGGGAGCCCTGGAGGGGGGTGAGGGTGGCACTGGGACAACCAGGACCTGCAGGGCCTGCGAGCAGTAGGGCAGTGCTGGGTGGATGGGACACGCGGTGGCCAGGAGCAGGTTGGCACTTCGTCCCCAAAAAGCTGCTAATTTTTCCACGCTGCTTTTGTGCTCAGGGCAGAGCTGAGAAATCTCTGCTGGTATTGTGGGATTTCGCAGAAGTGAAGAATAAAGTCTCTGAACTCCCTACAGCTGCATTTTCTGAGCGCTGCAACACTCTGATACCTCCAAAACACTATTAAGCACCTGGTGCTGGGTTGTCTTTGCGACCATGTGTCCTAAATAAATCCCTTCCCCATGCTGAGCTGTGCTAATGGCCTATTGTTAAGTGGCCAGCCAATGCAGAGGAATATGAAATCATTCTTTTTTTCCAGTTGTACCAGCAAAAAATAATCTGTCCGACATCTTTCTTGTAGGATGAGGCTGAAAATGGGAAGCAGCACGTCCCAGCTTGCAGGCCTTTGGCCCTTTGCACGTGTGTGTGCAAGGTGCAGCTCATGCCCCAGCCCCTCTGCCTGGCACCCACGTGCTCGTCTGTCTCTGCCGCCATCCTGCACGTAAGTGGGCTCCTTGGGAGACTCGCTCCATTTTTTTTTTTCCCTTTAACCTTGAAATGCAATTTCCTCCCCCAAAATACCCTTTTTTCCTGTAAACAACATCTCTTTAGTGAGATTACAGCAGAAATCCCTGAGCTGCCGGGTCCCGGGCACTTTATCACCCGGTGAGCCCCATCCGTCACGGCCGTGCGTGTGTTCCCGCGTCCCGCCCCAGCTGCCGGGCGATGCTCTTTTCATCATTTTTACAGATTTATTTTACAATAATTTAATTTCATCCTCAGCCCTGGGAAGACGAATTGGCCTCTGATGTGACGGGGGGATTCAGCGCCGGTCTCATAAATTTGCTGCCTCTACGCGGAGCTCTTTCCGAAGACACCAATGAGAGCGGCTGAGCGCCGAGGGCCGCGCCGTCAATCTCTGGGTGGCTGCAGGGCTCAGTGCTGGGCCGGGTGCTGAGTGCTGGGTGCTGGGTGTGTGCCTGCCTGCCCCCCGTGCAGAGCCGGGCATGGCACGCGCCGTGCCAGCTGCAGCAGCTTTGCCAACGTAATTAAACTCGAGTGACTCCCCTGCCCTCAGGCACAGCCCCTCATTTCCCTTTGATTTATTATGTCTTCTTAATTCATTTAAATGAGTCTCGGGTGTTTGCACAGGCGGAGGGTGCTGGCGGGAGCTCTAATTGCTGGAGCCATGGGAAGGCAGCAGGGGGGCCCTGGGCACGGCCCCGGGATGGCGGGGTGCCCCGCAGTCCCCCTGCTGTCCCCAGGCTGGTTGCTCCGCTGCCGGTTCCCGTCACTGCGCAGTACCTCGCGCTCATCCCTGTTGAATTTCATCCTATTCTTTCCAGTCCATTTCTCCAATTTGTCAAGATCATTTTGAATTCTAATCCTGTCCTCCAAGATACTTGTAGTCCCTCCCAGCTTCGTGTCATCTGCAAATTTAATAAGCGCTTTCTCTATTCCATCACCCGGGTCTTTAATGAAAACATTGAGTGAAGCAGAAGCGGGGCGAGCCCTCGGCCATCCGAGCAGCACGTCCAGATGTGCATGGAGGAGGCAGAGCTTTGCCCCACGCTGTGTCCCCCAGCACAGGTGGGAGTGCTGGAGGTGCTGCCCCAGGGATGCTGGGGGCTGTGGTGTGTGCAGGGCCCTGCCCCGATGGGGCCGTCATCCATCCCTTTAATTTAAAGCAAAAAGCAATTTACAAAATGCAAACTGCTGCTATGGTGAGCTGTGTGTGTCCAGGCATAGCTTAATTTCACAGTAAGGTTTCAGATGCCACAAATGGCCTTTCTCAGCATCAGCCCGCATCCGAGCCAAGAGCCTTGCTAGCTGCTGAGCAGTCCAGAAACAACTCTTGTGCTGCCTGCAGAGCACGCAGCTCCACATGCCGTCCATGCACAGCTGGGCTGATGCTGCCCAGGTTTGGCACTGCCCAGCCAGCAGGGCTCTGCTCTCCTGCAGTAAGAGGGGCTATGGGCACCTCTGTGCAGCTGACAGCATCCTGGCAGCGTCGGCCCAGAGCTGGCTCTCCCATGCTGGCTCCTTCCACGTCAGAGTTATAATTTCATGGTCAGGGGCTAGGAGGTTTGTACACAGAGATGCATTAGTTCTGCATTTAGTGATACTTGAATAATTGGTGTCACATCAATTAGATCTGTTCTTGGATACTGCAGTGATAAGTGCTGCGTGGAAGCGCTGCGCAGCAGACGGGTGGGATGCAATGGGATCGGGGCTGGGGGCAGCAGGCAGAGTGCATTGCCAGGGTTGGACCTGCGTGCACAGTGCTGGCCCCATGAGGGGGCTCGGGTGGCACTGAGGCCGCATGGAGAACACAGAGCTCGTGTTGCTGCTGTGCAGCTGGGAGCCGTCAGCCTTGCTCCTGCTGCAGGCTGTAGGCAGAGGTAATTTGCAGATGACAAATATCCCCGACAGTAAATATTTTTCCCACCCTCATCTTTCTACGAGCAGATAAGGTGGCAGCACCGTGGCAATACGGTTCCTGGAGGGAGACAAACTCTTTGGCAGTCTTAAAAGTCTATTGTGTCCCCGCAATTATTTATAGATAAATAGAAGAAAGCCAATAAGCACAGAATGGAGCTGCACAGCTGCATTTGTTACGATGATGATGATGTTATCACTCCCTCACACCCACACAGTGCATGGGAGCTTGCTGCCAGCAGCAGCCAAATCCCATCCAGCACAAGGCAAGACAGCCTGCGGGTTCCCTCAGCCCCCCCACCTCTCTGCTGTCTGGCCATGGGGCTGCTTTGCCCCATAGAGACCCAACAGCATAACTCTACCAATGCATCCTCTATGTGTGGCTGAGCCATGTGGGCCCGGGGATGGAGGGCTGGGGGGGCCGGGGCTGCTGGTGGCACAGCATTGGTGTGACCACAGCCCACCCTCAGCACCCCACATGGAACCAGGCAGAAGTGTGCCATACAGGGTGTGGGATCCCCCAGCCCTGTACACCCCGACGCTGCATCCATGTGGGCCGTGACCAGTGCCAAATGCTTGGCTCCACATCTGTAGGGTCATCACCCCAACGCACAGCGGGGCCGAGCTGCACTGCCATGCAGAGAGCATCACACAGCGCCTGGGAGCCCTTAACTGGACTGCAGAGAGGGACGATTTTTCATTGCTTCCGTGTAATAAGAGGACAGAAGTAAGTGACTACTACAGTTCGTTCACTCGGTAAAGATTTATACAATCACTTCATCCGGTAATTGGTATTCTGGGGAGAGAAGGAGCTGCAGCTCCAGCACCCGCCTCTATTTGTTTTCTCTCTGTCTTTCTCTCTTTCTCTCCCCTTTTCAGAATGAGTAATTTTGTCCCTCACAATCCCATTTAAACACCATTTGCAGAGTGAATAATTAGTTACATTCAATTAGGTCTCACGCTCTCTCCCTTCTCACTTTGGGGGACAGACACACTAATGAGATGGCACATGCCCTGCATGCAGGGGCAGGCGGGGAGAGGTCAGCATGGGGGGGAGGGAGGGAGCATGCACAGCTGAAGTATGGGGCCAAGAGCTCCGTGTTTGGGTCCGAGGGCTCTGTGCCCACATGATGCCAGCCCTCTGCTGGCAGTGTCACCAGGAGTGGGGTCACTGCATCCCTGGGGTGGCTGTTGGTAGGGCTGTGCAGTGGGGATGCAGAGCCATCCACCAGCACCGCCGGCAACGCGCAGCTGATGCAGGACAGCCGCTGGCATGCTTTTATCTCCCTTATTAAACCTAACATTAGGTTTTAAGAGCAGCCTTAAATAACGTGCCTCTGCCTTTATGGAAAAAGCTGCTCCGAGTTGCAGCTGCTCCGGGCTTTGGGATTTACTGCCTTCCTGACGCCATGCTGCACGTGTGCAGGTGGTGGGTGGTGGGCTCCGACTGCAGCCCCCGCCAGGCTGAGGGTGGGTGCTGGGTTCCTTCCATCCCTCCCCGGTGAGAGCACGATGCCGGGGTCACCGCTCGGTGCAGATGGAGGAGCGGGGAGGGGCAGCCCGGGCTGCGGGCCATGCTGCTCACGCACACCGAGAGAATAATTAAAGTTTAAATGCCATCTTTTTTTGTCAACGGTGTGGTGGAGAATAATTGAGTGTAATTGTTCCCACTGTAACGGTGATGGCAGAGCTCGGAGAGGAGCAATAACCGCGGAAATGTCAGCAGCCGGCAGCATCGCAGCTCGGGCCGGGCGGTGGGGGCCGCATGCGGCGCAGAGCGCTGCGGGGACGAACGACGCGGGGCCGGGCGGGGCCGGGGGCGGCCGAAGGGAGCGGTGCCGAGCCGGGCCGCCCCCGGCAGAGCCTTCGCCTCGCGATCGCTACGGGACACGGGGCGCGGGGCCGCCTCAGGGCGCCGCACTCGGCCGTGACCCTTCCGCCCCCCGCGCGGGGCTGTACGGGAGCGCTCCGCCCGCTCCGCGCCGCCGGCGGCCCCGCAGCGCCCCCTGCTGGCACCGAAACGGCCGCGCACCGCCTCGCGCAGAACCGCGCTCCGGACACGCGTGGGTCGGGGACTGGAATTTTTGGGTTGGTTTGTTGTCTCCACGCATCCCGTTCCCGCCGGGCCGGCACCGTCACGCCCTGACACCGAGCCGCCGGGTCCCGCCGTGGCGGCTGCACGTGGGGCCACCGAGGGTCCCCCGGGCAGAGCTGCTTTTCGGGTCGGCTCCTGCGTGACATCCCGTCGGGCTCCGCCTCGGTCTCGCCACGGGCTCTGCCCACCTGTGGCCCTGCCCGGCTCCTCCGCAGCACTCCGCTGGGTGCCCGGCCCGGCTGCGCTGCCCACGTGCTGGCGGTTGTGCCCCGTGGCATCGCCGCGCTGGGGCCGATGCTCACCTCCCGCCCCGACTGCAGGGGGGTCAGTGCTGGCCCTGCCCGCTGCTTCTGTCGGGGGCAGCTCCCGCACTCTCACAGCTGCTCCTGCTCTGCGATGCGGCTCTCCTTGCCGTCCTCCTGCGCCACGGGCTGCCCTCCCAGCAGGGTCTCCTGCACCGGGAAGTCCACCTCCTCCGGCTGCTGCGTCTCCAGCTCTCTGGGCACCTCGGTCTCAATCTGTGTGGGGGCAGGAGGTCAGGGCCAGCAGCGGGCTCAGGGCAGGAGCAGTGGTCACGGCCCCTGCCCACAGCCACATCTCTCCACGGGAGCCTCCTGTACTTGCTCCTTCTGCAGAACAGGGGCCGCACCCCATAGAGGTTCCCTGCGTAGGTTCCTGGTGGCCCCGTCCCCACTGAGCAGCCCTAGGATAGCCCCTGCTCTGCAGCCCACACATCCCTACCATGTCATCAGGGACCCCAACCCACTGCTGGAGACAACTCACCTGCCTCGTTCCACGGCGCCTGAGGTCTGCAGGGAAAGGAGAGAAGGCCACCATTGGGGCAGGTCCTGCCCTGCCTGGCCCCCAGCCCTCCAACAAGCTCGGAGCTGGAGAGGCTGGGTGCCACATTGCCACCCCCTGAAGGGCCTCCCCATTGCTGGTAGAACTGCCGCTGCCTTCCCTACTTGGCTCCTCACCTGTGTGCACCAGGCAGTAGATGCAGATGCCCACCAGGCAGGTGACAACCACAGCTGTGATGGGGATCAGCACCGACAGCGATGAGCGCCGGCTCGACTCTGCCAGGGGATGGGGACTCAGAGGGCTGCACAGAGCTCCAGCCCACATCAGCTCTGCAGCAGACAGGGTATGGAGCACTTACCACAGATCACATCTGAAGTGTTCGTCCCTTTCACCTTCACCACGAGCCCCTTTTCCTCACAGCTGCAAGCAAAGAATGAGACTGCATCACCATAGTGGGAGCCCCACAGCCATTGGGCTGGGAGCCAAACACGTGCAGTCAGCATCCCCTGGGCCCTGGGGGTGCGTGGTCGGGGCACAGCAGTGGGGCTCCTGGGGTGAGATGGGGATGGAGATGCCAGGGCCCTGTCAGAAGCTGCTGAAACTGCCAGAGGTGGGCATGTGCCTTGGGTTGAGGCACAGGAGGGGGACACTGGGGCTGGGACACTTCAGCAGCTGCAGAACAGCTCAGAGATCGCTCGATGGCATGCCACAAGTGACTCAGTGGGGAGGTAATTTCTGGCCATAGACAGGAGCAAAGTGAAATCCAATGGCTGGCAGCTGAGGCGAGACTAATGCAGTCCAGAGGTAATGCTCACATTTCTACCAAGGAACATGAGTAACTCTTCAGCTGCTTTTTACAGACAGGAGTGAGCTGGGGTCTGGACACCATCCCCTGAGGTCTGGCATTCCACACACACTGAAGGAATGCCACAACACCTGCCATCAGCTCAGCCACCTGGGTCTCACTGCACCTTTCTGCCCTCGCTCCTGCCCTGCACCAGTCTGGTGCTGTGCCCCGCAGGGGCCATCCCAGTGCCTCGTCCCAGTGCCACAGGGCAGGTGGCAGCAGGGGATGTGCAGAGAGGAACAAGGATGGGGCACAGGGTGCAGCTGACACTGACCTTGTCCAGAAGTGGCACGGCTCGGTTTTGGAAGATACATTGGAGAAGGTGCCTTCTTCACAGGGCTCACACGGTGAGATCATCCGGGCTTCAGCCACGGCTGGAAGGGAGCGGAGGTTGCACGAAGGTCAGCAGCAGTGCAGCCCTCACAAAGCTCTGGTAGAGCTCCATGCAGAGGAAGCCTCCATCCCTGGGAGCACCTGAGGTCAATGCCTCCAGCACATGGGGCCCATTGCAGGGATAGGAACCGGCTGGGTCTCACCTGCCACAAAGCCAAAGCCCTGCTTGCAGGGCTCATTCTCCACGCAGGTCTGGCAGCTGGCATCAGAGCAGTGCATGCCGGCCCGGCACTGACACACAGTGTTGTGCGTTGCATTTCCATGTCTCTTCACGATGAGGCCAGCATCTGTCAGAGGGAGTGGGGACACAGTGAGGGTGAGCCTGGGTGGAGTGCAGCCCCTGCAGCCCCACTCGCTGGGGACATGGAACACTTACTCTCCTCACAGATGTCATGGGGCATGCAGTGCTTCTCTTTAGTCCAGCTCTGCTGGTAGTGACCGTTGTCACAGGGTGTGCAGACAGAGCTTTCTGTGTCGTTGCATTCAGAGGCCAACTTCTTCCCTGCAAGAATGGTTGGTGAGGGCTGTAGTTGCTGGGGCCACTGTGGCATGCTGCTCAATTGCCAAACGCAGCCCCAGCAGCCATGGCTACACGGCCCAGGGAGGAGAAGGTATTTCTGTACCTGGCTGGCATCGGTTGCAGCATTTGCCCTTGTGCTCATACTGCTTGTCAGAGCAATTCACAGCATCACTGGGCTGCCCGCACTGGAAGAGACGAGACCCATGAAGAGACGCTGCTCTGCCACACTCCTGCACAGCCACACATCCTCCGAGCCGTGCCCCAAGGTGAGGTTTTCCTTGCACCACACTTCCCATGCCTGGGCTAACCACAGACCGCAGCAGATCTGCCTGCACTGCCTGGCACTGCCAGCGCTCTCTTTGAAGTGGGATGGCAGTGGCTCCTGTAGGGCGGCCCCGTACTTTCCCAGGTTTCCTACTGGGTGGTGACTGCTCTTCACCTTGGGCCTCTGCCAGTGCCACCAGCGCTGCAGTGCTGGGCAGGGGGAGCAGTGCCCACCGTGCCACCAGCCCCTTCCCCGGGCAGGAACATCAAACCCACACAGGCTGCTGTCTCCTTGCTTGGTCACCCCCGACACGGTCCTGTGGGCTGGTGTGAAGGGGCACTGCAAGGCCTGGCTTGTGATGCCTGACCCTGTACAAGGGAACTGACCCCCCCCACCATGCGTCTGTGACTTCAGGCAGGAAGGGGAACCGAAAGGGTGCTCAGACACCCCACCCTGCCTCTGCCACTCTCCCCAGTGCCCGACCTTGCATTGAACCCACAAGACCCCACAACAGGGCTCAGCCATAGGCTGCCACAGCCCCTCCAGCAAGGACAATATGCCTGTCCCATGCCTTGCCTCGACACGGGCCGGGACTCCTGCTGACAGGGAACTGCCCACATTGCCCTCTCCGCTCCTCAAATTCACGGCTGCGCCCCAAACAACGGCGACGGGGATTTTGGGGCGAGGGGAGGCAATATGGAGTAGGAAGGATAGGAAACGCCGAGCCCTTGCCGGGGGAATCTCAACCACGAGAACGAGGAACGACGAAGCTCTGCGCCCGGGAGCAGGAATCGTGCTAGGGGCACCCAGCCAGGGGCTCCCCGCATCCTTCCCGGCACCGCGCTGGATGACGGCCCCGGGCCGCTCCCGCCGGGACCGGAGCTCAGCGGCCCGACGGCGCCGAGCGCTCTCACCCGGAAAGCGTTGCCGCAGCCCGGCCGCCCTGCGGGCCCCGCGACACACAGCGCAGCGGCGCAGCTCCGGCCCGGCCCCGCTCCCCGGCCCCGCGGGACGCCGCACTTACGCCCAGGAGCAGCGCGCAGAGGAGCCCCAGCAGCCCGAGCCGCCCCATGGCCCGAGCCGCGCCCATCCGGTCCGATCCGAGCCGCGCCGCCCGTCCCGTCCCGAGTCCAACCGAGCCGTGCGGGGCCGGGCAGCCGATATTAACGGCTCGACCCGTTTCCGCCCAGGAAGGGGCCGCAGGGGCCGCCCATCCTGCAGTCACCGGGCTTGCACTCCCGCGACGAAGTCCCCACCGGCAGCCCCCGCCGCCCCGGGACTTTCCCGGCCCGCGGAGCGTAGCCGAGAGCTGTGCGGGGCCGGGGCGCTTCCCGCCGTCCCCCCGCACGGTGCGACCGGCCCGGCACGGCCGAGCTACGGGTGGATGTCAGCATGCAGCTGCCTCCAGCTTCTTTCTGGGTGAAGGAGGTGCGGCCGCAGGCGGGAATCTGCCATGGGAAGCAGAGGAGATCTTTGTTCTGGCCCCAACAGCTTCTTCCTCAGGCAGAAGTGTGAGGTTTCACTTCACTTTTAAAAAGTCCTGAGAGCCCCTCAGCGTTCCCCACAGGCTCTGGTATCTGCATAGAGTTCCCAGAAACACAGCAACCCGATACGGGAAGAGGCAAAAGAGCAGCAGGGCTCTGAGCCTTCCCACCACCCCGACTCCCTTCCCTCTGTCCCAAAGCAATCCCCGAGGAAGTTCCCATCCCTTAAGCTCTCCGGACACTTCCCCATACGCAGGTTTGCAGCGTGCAGCGCGTGCTGTGGGGGGGACTTTCAGAGTCTGCGCCATCCCAGCACAGCACTGCCATCACAGCCTCGAGGACACTGCGTATGGTGCCACCATCCTCCCTGTGGGCACCGCTGCAGGAATGGCCCTGCTTCCAGTGCTGCAGGAGTCCAGCTGTGTCCCACAGGCTGACCCCAGGTCCAGCTCCAGCCCGCAGCCCTGCCTCCCGCTGTTGCCCCGCGCTGTGCCCTGGCCGCAGGCCATGCACTCCACATTCCCCGCCATGATGTCATTTCCCAGAACCGATGCACTCAGGTGCACCCAGAGCCCCAGGGAGCTGTGAGGGCAGAGCCGAAGCCGAAGGCACGCATGGGGATTTCTGGGCCCGCCACTCGCAGGCTCAGCCTGGGAAGTCCCGACGATGTCTGGGCGCTGCTGCACACCGGGACGGGCGTCCTTGCCCTACCGGCCCTGTGGCACCGGGCTCATCCCGCACCGGCACTCCCGGCCCAGCTCCCGGCGGCGCCCGCTCACCGCCCGGCGCAGCACGCAGCGCCCATCCGCTCCACGGCGGCCTGAAGGCGGTGGGCTTCGAGAGCGCCGCCCCGCGGCCGCGGCCCCGACGGACTACAAATCCCATGGTGCTTTGCGGAGGTGGCCGCGAGGCACGCCGGGAGCCGTGCTTGGCGCGAGGCCTCCCCCCATCCGCCGGCAGCCACGGCGGCGCGCTGTACGTCAGTGCGCCGCGCCGCGCCGCGCCGCGCCGTAAAGCGCGAGTCAGCGCCCTTCCGGCGGCTCTCACCTCCGCGCTTTGCGGCGGCGCCGTGCGGCAGCGGCGGTTGGCGCCTTTGTCCTGGCGGGCGGCGGCCTGAGACGGAGCGGGCCCGGCGAGGCGGTAAGTGAGCGGCGGGCCGCAAGGAAGGCGTAGCGCAGCGCGGAGCTCCGTCCGTCTCGGGGCCGCGGGGAGGCGGCGGGCGGCGCCGGAGGGACCCTGTGGCCGCCTGGGAAGGGCCGGGCCGGGCTGCTCGGAGCCTCGCGGTGAGCTGTGGGTTCCGGGCGCCGCCCGTTTGCCACCGGTAGGGTTTTATTCGTTTCGTTCTGCCGTGCCCGGGATCGCGGCGCTGGGTGTCGGAGCCGCAGTTCTACTCTATGGGGTCGGTGAGCTGCGGGGCCCGCCTCAGCACCGCGATCGCCCAGCAGCGGCTGGAGGCCCTGAGCGCTGTGTGACACCTCGGTGCCGGGCCGTGCTTGGAAGGCGAGCAGCCGGGTGGAACGCTGGGGCTTCCTTCCTGCTGCCGCCCCTCGAGGAAAGAGAAGGGAATCTTCCTTAAGAACTTCCATGCAGGAAGGAAAACCTGTCACACTGTGGGTGTCTGCGAGCAGCCAGAGCTGTGCTGTCGGAGCCCATCCTGCACGGTGCCCACCTGGCTGCTGTGTCCCCATCCCGTCCTGCAGTGCTGACTCCCTGTCAGACTCCAGCCTGCTCCCTGCCCTGTGCTTCCCTGCTGACCTTGGCAGAGCGTTGGGTTTCTTTTCCCTCAGCTGCAATTGTAAGACCCAAATCTAATGCCTATGTGAGGAGAAATGGGGCGAGAGCTGCTGTTTCTGATGGGGTGGGTGAAGCTGTGTGTGTAGCAGGGGAGCAGACTCACAGGAGGACTGAAGCGAATAAGATGTAAGCGCTGACCTTTCCTGCTGGTTTTGGGGTGTTTCTGCCCCCTTCCTGTTCTGGAGGTTCAGTTCATATTGAAACAAAGCATTACAGTGGGAGATGTTCTCTGCCTTCCTCTTCTGCAGAGCTGTGGGAAGGAGGACAAGTGATACAAATGTAAATTCAATTGTCTTTTAAAATAAAAAATCATAATCCAAGTGGTATGCCTCAAATCCTGAACATGCTCATTTCTCATGCTAAGTGTGGTAGAAGTACTTTTGTGACACCGTTTTAAGCTTTTGGGTGTTTGGCGTGTTTATTTAGATAATGCTTTCAGATTGCAGTGAATGCAGATTAGATGCTGTGTTGGTTGAAGGCATCTCATGGCAGATACCAGAAGTTTCTGTTGATTTACTCAGCTGCACAGTATTTTTTTTCCCCAAGTTCCTTCCTATCCTGTATTTCTGCAATGGATGCTCAGGGAGGGATTACACTTCACTCTTCAAATAGTTTTCGATCTTGTAGGTTCATCTTGTAATGGTGCATCCTGGATGGGTTTTTTTCTTTTGCTTGGGCTGATGGGTTTGGTCTGGATGCTGCGGGTGGATTTGTTTCCTTCCCAGTGGTGTGCTGGAGCTGTGGGTGCAGTGGATGTTGCTGAGTGCTCCAGCTGGGTGTGGGGGTGGTGATGTTCCCTGCTGTGGACCCGCCTTCAGTGGGAGGTGGTGGTGGTGGGGCTGCTCAGCAGTGGCACGAATGAGAAACTGCTCTCCCCTTTGGGAAAGGGATCCAAGTGTGGTCACTGAAGCGCATTTAAAAGTACTGTGTGACATCTCGCTGAAAGCCCATCGAGAAATAATTGGGTCCTGTTGTGTGATGTTGAGTGTTTCCTTTCTGCTTGTTAAAATACCGCTTAAACCTCAGCACTTCTTACCAGTGAACAGAAGAAACAGATAAAACAATGGGTGTATCGGAAAGCTGCATTTTCTTCAGTAAGAAATGAGTTTAAATTCTATTTTAGCTTGGAGATAAATCACTAAAACACATCCATGAAGTAGATCAGGCTTCCTACCTCTCGGTGTTACAGGAAGCTCACCCCAGATGCTGCAATGCACGTTTTTTCCTGCCTTCTGTGTCAGTTGTGTTAAGATTTCTCTGGAGCGAAGCTTGCGTCAAACAGACCCGGTTGGCTTCTAGTCTGCAAAGCTGTTAAGTTTAATCTTGTTCCAGTTTAATTTTAATGTCGTGGATTGAAATTATATGCGTGGCCATTTCTCTTTTTTGCGAAGAGTTGGATTTGGAACGAAAGCAAAATGGCCCGAGGACGCAAGAGCAATAGCATCAAACAGAGCGACTTCACTAACAGCACCAACCCTCAGGATTTAGAGAGAAGACTTTTTGTCGGCAATTTGCCCACAGACCACATGACTCGTGAAGAAATGGAAGAGATATTTTCAAAATATGGCAAAATCAGGGGTTAGTATTTTATCTTATGCCTCTCTGTGGCTGGGAATTCAGTCAGAAATATAACTGTCATGCTTGTCGAATGCTGCTTGCTGCTGATGAGAGGAGTGACTAATGCTTTCCCTCAAAAGTGACCTTTTAATGATAACTGTATCTGCCTGCACTTTCTGAAAAAGTAATTCTTTGAGTACTGCTGAAACCCAGTGCGTATGTACGAGCATGCTTTATCTCTGGGGCTGTGGTGCCATGTTATATCAAGCAAATCTGCTCTTTCAAGTGACCGCGCAGTCTCTTAATCAAGTCTCGGTCACTTTGTGGGCTGATACTTTTGGTCACTGCCTTGTCAGAAGGAAGCTGATCTGTCTTTGTGGAACTGTCTAAGAAATACGTTTCAGAGTTCTTAAGCTCTGCGTTTTGATCCCAGTAGATCTGGGTCTCCCCTAAAACCTGCCTAGGCCTTTCTGGGCAGAGCCCCTTTGCTTGTTCCAGCTGCTGGGGTGATGTGAGGCCTGGGTGTGGGATCCTTGCTGTCCTGTTCTTGTAACTGGTCTTGCCCTGCTGTTAACTTTTGCAGCCCTCAGCATGTACCATGGCTATGGGTTCGTGCAGTATGACCGTCTAGAAGATGTCCAGGCCGCTCTGGACGGTGAGAAGGGCCGCCTTTATAAAGGGTATAGATTAGGTAAGGAAAACTGACCCCTGCTCTCCTACCTTAGCATGCGTTCTGGTAGACAGAGTGCTTTTCTTCGAAAGCTCTCTGGAAAGATCATTATGTGAAACTTGCCTGGCATTAGTCTAAAGTCACTTTTACCAGGTATGTATTTTCTTTCTGAGTTATTTGCTGTTAAGTGCTGTGTGATTCGTCTGTAGCGTTTTCTCTTGCTACCCGGGTCCTACTCTGAATTTGTTTTTGTGTTAGTGTTTGAATGGACCCATAGCTGATCAACATGTAAGCCCTGCAAAGTGTTGGGGGGGGACTTCACCTGCTTAGTGCTAAAATTGGTTTGTATACTGTTACTGGGCTGCATCTTGATGGATCCAGAGGAACTGGTCACAGAATTCAGCGGCCCGTTAGATAAGGACACTTGGATTTTCTTGCACATGGGACATAATCTGAGTAGCCCTATAAATACAAAGTGCTTTGAAAAGGCCTTTTCAGAAAGATGAAAATAGTCCTTGTGAATCTGCTGGCAGCAAACTGAAACACAAGTGAATGGTTGGAAGTCTGAGCCCGATCTGGTA